GATAGGTAGATATAAAAATTATTAAGTAAATAGTACATTTTTACTTTCTTGAATTATAACATTATTTTTTAAATATCTTTTAATTTGCATGGTTATATATACAAAGTTCAGTAAAATTTATTCACTGTCTATATGTCTTTTCATTTTATTATTTGTTTCATTTCAAAATTATTTCTGAGAATATGTTTCCATATAGAAAAGGGGATTGTTAAAAATGTTCTCTGAGCATCAAATATGCCAGGTATGACCTAGTCATGGGCTATACACATTGTGATAATACAACAGTGGTTTCCATGAGAATTACTTTCTACCATTAAATGTGAATGTTTGAGAAAAACAACAGGTGCAATAATAGCAGGAACAACCCTAACTAACATTGGCCTCTAAACCCCAGCCAAAAGCAAATGTGATCTTCATCTCTCTTCAGAAAATATTTTGTTTTGATAAGACAAACTCACTTGGCACAGGTTTGGATGTCCTGAGTGTCATAAGAGGGACATGCCCAATTCAGGACAGCAGCAAAGAAATATCAACATGGTTGTTAGCTGGAAAATTAAAATGGTGCCATTGAGCTCAGTGCATCATTCTTGCACTTCAAACACTAGTTTTTGTTTTGGAGACATGGGGAATAAAATACCTTATTTGTACAAAGAGGAGTATCTTTTTTTAAATTTTATTTTTTTAATTTCTTTGCAGTAAGGTATTACATATTTGTCCTAATCCCCCCATTCCCATCATAAACCCCTCCCCACATATGCCCCCACCCTCCTATTGTTTATAACCACTAGTTAGGCTTATATGCATGCGTACAAGTCCTTTGGTTGATCTCTCCCCCTTCCCTTTACCCTCCCAAACCTTCCTTCTGAGGTTTGACAGTCTGATCAATGCTTCCTTGTCTCTGGGTCTGTTTTTGTTCATCAATTTATGTTGTTCATTATTTCCCCTAGATGAGTGAGATCATGTGATACAAGAAATACACTTATAAGAACCGAAAATGAGACAAGCAATAATGGTTATGCTGAGAGGCAAACGAATCAGTCTGTAGTGAGTTTTTTTTTGGACCAACAGTTCTTTTGAGTCCCAATTTCAATGTCAAACAGTTCCTTATGTGTACATGTCAGCAATGATATTTCAGTTCTGGGTGGTGGACAAATGGTGGTGATGCAGGTCCTGAACTGAATGTGATGAACAGCTCCTGACTGCTAGTATGGCAAGGCATTGTCAGTGTCTTCCATCTCTGGGCTGTTTCTCTCTGTCTTCGTGACTTATTAGCAGGATGGGGATCATTGACTGCACATTGTCTAGAGAGTATTCTTGGCTGGAGAAGAGTATTCTTGATGACTTTTAGAGCATATCGCAAGCCTGCATTTATCTACTTATTCCTCCATTCAAAAAAAATTCTCATGCTAGACAATGTGCAGTCAATGATCCCCATATTGCTGATAAGAATATGCAGGAACTGCAGGAATGTTCCCATAATCCCATTGCAAGTTAGCCTTGTTATCAGCTTGCTCTCTTCTCCACCCTGTACACTCCTTCCAAGCATATAGTCAGAGAATGCTGGAACTACAAGGGATGATCAACTGTACTACTGGCATTGGGTGACAGCTCAATGGCTAAATGCAATGTAACAGAAAGTGAGTCTTACAAATAATTTTGTAGTGTCAGTCATACACTAAGGAAGATGAAGTTGTATATGTTTTTTTTGTGTGGGAGAGGGTGGTAAGTGATAATTTTCTTCTCTTTGCCATCCAATTCCTTTATTTTAATTTTAAAGAAATGTAATGCCAGGAAAACTGGGATTATTTAAATAGTTTTTATTATATAAAAACTAAAATTATTTCAGAAAAGATACCCTGTATCTTTTCAATATCACACAAAGTTTTAGCATTTGAACAACCATGTTCAAATGAATATTCTAATTTTTAGCTATCTCCATGACCTTTATAAGTATCTCAAAAGAATCAAGCTTTGTATTTTCTCATGGTTGATAAGCAAAGTGTAAACTTCTCCCACCTAATGCTATTCCATTTATTCTGAAGCAGCTAGAGGTCTCCATGACACTGTTTCAGAAAACCATGAGCCAAGTGCCTATCAGTTCATGAATCTGCCATGAGATCCCTGCCCTTTCTGCTTTTGCCCTTCCATGACCTCCCATGCCCACTCACTGTTCTAATATCAAAGAGCTTCTCATTCAACATCATAAGGCCAGCTCAAACACAATCTTTCCATAAGCCTTGTTCCAATAGCCCCAGCAGAAGTGAATCTCCTGCACCCACGCAAAGTTTGCACCTCTTTACCAGTGTTGTTTTGTTCTCCCATTGGTCAAATGTTTTTATTTTCCACTGGAAGGTAAGCCCTATGCTGGCAGATACCATGTCTTATTTATTTCTAAGAGATCCCTCTGAGCCCTCCTTTCAGTCCAGGTGAGCTTGAAGAAAAAAGAGTGGTAGGTCGTAAAATTATTTCAGATAAGATACCCTGTTGTTAATTAATCTTGTCTCACAAATGGAATGGTAAGTTCCCTGAAGGAAGAAAGTCTTTGTCACTCTGGCTGGGTGGTTCAGTTGGTTGGGGTGTCATCCCCTACACCAATAGCTTTTGGTTTCTATTCCTAGTCAGGGCACATACCTAGGTTTCAGGTTTAATCCCTGGTCCAGGCACATAGGGGAAGCAACCGATGGGTCTCTCTCTCTCTCTCTCTCTCTCTCTCTCTCTCTCTCTCTCTCTCTCGCTCTCGCTCTCGCTCTCGCTCTCGCTCTCGCTCTCTCTCTCCCTCCCTCCCTCCCTCCCTCGCACCCTCCCTCCCCTGTTCCTTCTCTCTAAAATCAATAATTATAATTTTAAAAATCCTCCAATGAGGATTAAAAAAAGAAATTTTTTGAAAAGAGGGCCTCCGTTTATAATGATCATGTCTTTTTCACAATGCTGGCACCAAGTCATAGGCTCCATAAACTATGATTGACTTATCCAAGTAAATGAAAAGGGAACTTAGGAGGCTGAGAGAACCTATTAACTTTAGAGCATTAGACTTCTGGAAACAAAGGTTTCACTTGGTCTTTCTGCCTCTGCCTCCTTGCTTTTTTTTGTCATAAGTCTAACCACATCCAAGTCGTACTTCCTTTTGATAAATTATCTTACCCTTTCTATTCAATTTTTTAAAAACCTCATTCTCATAACTTCACTTTTAGTTTGCTTTCATTTTTATTCAGAATTTTTGGAAGCAACTGAATTGGGAAGCCTTATTGTGCATTTATTTGATATCTCAGAGCAATTATAAATACAGGGTGTCCCCCAAAAATGTATACACACTTTAAATAATTATAAAGTCAGTGTTTATTAGCATACAGTTCATTTTCAAAATTAAGAGTGTTATCAGTTGTTAAAGTGTGTTTACATATTTTTTGGACACCCTAATTGTAAGTATTCAGGAGTTCTAAAAGTTCTTTACAAGTCTCTTTTCTCAATCTGATTCCTGAAAATTCAGTCAGGTAATACTTATTCTGGTCAAGCAGAAATTATGGTGTATAAATATTTCTTTCTTTTCTGCATCCAGCATGGCTAGAGAGTGAACAGGAGTCCTGAGTAGGGGCGACAAGAGATTGAGAAATGAAATAAACAGACACAAAGACAGTAGAGAAAGCTGGGTCTGGATGGGACAGCTGTCATCTGATGGAGAGACAGGGACCTAGAGACAATACAGTGCATTTATTTTATACAGTAAGATACCTCGACTTTTTCTGAAATTTAAGATAAAGAAAATATGTGCATTCTTGTGGCTTCTTTGTAATTATTACTTCTGGGTGGGCCCAGATAATTATGTTTGTTCTTGGTTCTTGGTTGGATTTAGATAATGAAATCCACCCCCAGGTGGCAAGGCATGTTTCCAGGGCATGGCTATGCCAGGCACCACTGGATTCAGACAACAATCAGCTCAGGGGCCTTTCCCAGGCACTCTCTACAATGGTGACAGGATTATCAGGTGTTAGGAAATAGCTTAAAAAGAGCATATTTTTATACCATGCTGTCAAGGGTATAGAAAAATTATGCTAGGTAGAGAAATATGGGGAATGTGAGGCCATAATACCATACATCAGTGATTTTCAACCTTTTCATCTCATGGTATACATCAACTACTAAAATTCTGTGGCACATCTAAAATATATTTTTTGCTGATTTGACAAAAAATATGTATACTGTAATTTTGATTCATTCACAACAGATGGCTATTGTTGTATTGGCTGTCGTCATTTTTTTAGACAACCTAAGGGAAAAGAAGTCAATGCTTCTGATTAAATAGTCAGATATTGCATGTTTTAAAAATTCTTGTGGCACATCAGTGTACTACTGCAGCACACTAGTTGAAAATTGCGAATGTATATTGTTTTTGTTGTAAGAAGTAAATGAGTTAAAATACTTATGCATTTTAAATAGCCCCTGGAATATAATAAGTATTGACCAAAAAAATGCTGTTATTATTTGCTTCCTATTAAAGAAGGTATGTAATAATAAAAATAAGTAACAATAAAAGAAAAAATATTTTTATAATAAAAATATTGTGGAAATTTGCCGAGACTGGTTTGGCTCAATGGATAGAGCATCGGCTTGGGGACTGAAGGGACCCAGGTTCAATTCCAGTCAAGGGTATGTACCTTGTTTGCAGGCATATCCCCAGTAGGGGGTGTGCAGGAGGCGGCTGATCGATGACTATCTCTCATCGATGTTTCTAACTCTCTATCTCGCTCTCTTCCTCTCTGTGCAAAATCAATAAAATATATTAAAAAAATATTGTGGGAAATTATTGAATAATTGAGGAAATTATTTACTTGTGCTTTTTTTTAAAGAAACATTTATTATGTGCTTACCATGTGCCAGACACTCTGCTTGTGAGGGTTAATTACTGGAAAATGTTATCTTAAATGGTGCTTGAGAAATCTTTGGCAGAAATTGTTGAAGTGGCAAAGGACAGATTTGATTTTAATTTTGTTTTCACCTTTCAGGAGAAAAACCATGTACACCACAACTTCGTGTTAAGAGAGCCTCCATGCAGAAAGTTCGTGCAGGGAATCCATTTCAACTGGAATGTCCTGTGGTATACTGCACTAAGAGTCCTAATGTGACCTGGTGCAAGTTGAAAGAAAACCAATGTTTGCCTCTGGGAGCTAGGCATCGGGCACACATAAGGCGGAAAAACAGACAGAATATTCTCATTTTTATTCTACATTTTGATCAAGCCTTGGCTAGTGACAATGGATCATACCGCTGTTCTTTGAATGCTTCATCTGGACTTATTGAAAGTCACTCAATAGCTATTAATGTGATAGGTGAGTTCTAGACAACAAGACTATCTAATATCTTTCCCATTATGTTTCAAGGAAAAGAAGAACCCAGATTCTGAAGTAACTGTGTTAGACACTGAACTTATATAAAACATTATTATAGAATGGTGCTACGCCTCATAGACTGTAACACGTAGGCACACATGTGTGTGTAGGTATATGTGTGTTTTGGGGTGAGTGAATTATAGAAGAGTAGAAAAATAAAATAAAATTTATTGTTTTTCCTTAAGGAAAAATAAAATTTATTTGGTAAGTCCAAAAGTAGATCTCTAAAATGTGGGGGAAATTTCAAAGTGAATACCAATAGTAGTAGACAGTTTTCTATTCTCTATCCTTGTTTACTTTTTCTTTTATTTTTTTCTTCCATATTTCCGTCTTTGACTTTTACTGATAATTCCTTGAAGAATGTTTGTAGTGGTCAGAAAATTATACATTTATTAATAAATCCTTGAATTTATGTTAATAATTCATGTTTGCACATAGGGCAAACAGCATGCAAATAACCTGACTCCCTGATAAGTTTTAAGAATAGTTATAGATTTAGCTATCTCCACAGAATCTCTCCAGGGGATCTCAATAGGCTCAAACTACAGAGGAGAGACAGGTTGACATTAAATTGGGCAAAACTAAACTGAATGAAACATGGAAAATAAAAAATAGGATTGGGAAACAGTAAAAAAAAACACATTTGATTTATAAGACTCTCACAACTAATATCATATTTACTGGTGAATGATAAGCTTTTCCCCTAAGAAGAAGATAAGTCAAGAATGTATGTTTCTATTCAACACTGAACTGGAATTTCTAGCCATAGCAACTAGGCGAGAAAAAAACACACCACCATCCAAATTGCAAAGGAAGAGTAAAAATATCTTTTCACAGATGACATGATATTATATAGAGAAAATTCTTTAAACTCCTCAAAAACTACTAGAGCTAATAAATGAATTCAACAAAGTTGTATTCTCAACAGAAAAATAGTAGTATTTTTATCCTCCAGCAATGAACTAGTAATCGTAAAAAGAAATTAAGAAAAAATTCAAGTTAGAATAGCATAAAAAAGAATAAAATATTCTAGGAATGAATTTACCCTAGAAGGTACAAGATTATGCACTGAATAAAACATACTGGTAGCTAAAAGAAATTATAAATAAATACAAAGACATCCTGTGTTATGGATTGGAAGATTTAATATTTTTAAGATCACAATAGTCCCCAGAGTGATTTACAGATTCGATGTAATTCCCACCAAAATTCCAACCTTTTTAAAAAATATATATTTTATTGATTTTTTACAGAGAGGAAGAGAGAGGGATAGAGAGTTAGAAACATCAATGAGAGAAATAATCAATCAGCTGCATCTTACACACCCCCTGCTGGGGATGTGCCCACAACAAGGTACATGCCCTTGACCAGAATCAAACCCAGGACCCTTCAGTCCACAGGCTGATGCTCTATCCACTGAACCAAATTGGTTTTGGCCCGACAACCTTTTATTTGCAGAAATAGAAAAATTGATTTTAAAAGTTATACAGAATTCCAATGAGCCCAGAATAGCCAAAACAATCTTGAAAAAGAAGAATCATGTTGGAGGACTCAACATAATCTTGAATTTGTCAATGATTTCTGAAATATGATATCAATAGCATAAGCAACAAAAGAAAAAATATGTAACTTGTATTCATCAAATTAAAAAAAATTTCTACATCAAAAGACACTCTCAAGTGAGTGAAAAGACAGCATATAGAATGTGAGACTGTATTTGTAAATCACATATTTGATAAAGAACTTATGCCCAGAAAGATAAAGAATACTTACAACTTCACAAATAGAAAAGCAATCAATAAAAATAAAATGGACAGCCCTTGCCAGTTTTCCTCAGTGGATAGAATATTGGTCTGTGAATTGACAGTGCCCAGGTTTGATTCTGGTCAAGGACACATGCCTGGGTTGGGGGGCTCCATCCCCAGTAGGGGGTGTGCTGGAGGCAACCAATCAATGATTCTCTCACATCATTCTCTCCCTCTTCCTTCCACTGTGAAATCAATAAAAATATATTTATAAATAAATAAATAAAATAGGCAAATCATTTGAATATATATTTCTTCAAGGAAGATATATGTAAATGGCCAATAAACACATGGAAAAATTCTTAGTGTCAGTCATCAACAGAGATATGCAAATCAATATTTGATAATACCATTCACAACTACTGAAATGACTAGTTTTTTTTAAAGAAAAATAAATGCTGTCAAGGATGTGGACAAATCAAACCCTTACATTGCCAGTGGGAATATAAAATGGTGCAGCTGCTTTGGAAAACAGTCTGGCAAATCTTCACAGTGTTAAACATAGTTGTCACAGACCCAACAATTCCAATGTTTCATAAGTACCCAAGTCAAACAGAAATACATATCCACACATAAACTTGTACATGAATGTTTATAGTAGCGCTATTCACAACAGCCAAAAAAAAAAATTGAAACAACCCAAATGTCTATCAACTGATAACTGAATAAAGGAAATGTGATAAATCATATAATTTAGAATATTATTCAGCCATAAAAAATAATAACATACTAATACATTCTACAACACAGATGAACCTCAAAAACACTGTTAGGTAACAGAAGCCAGATACACAAGATCACAAATTGTATGATTCTGTTTATATGAACTACCCAGAATAGGTAAATCCATAGACTAAAAAATGATTAATGATGTGCCAGGGACTGGGAGAAAAGGAGAATAGGGAATGACAATTTAATGAATATGAGGTTTCTTTTTGGGTGATGCAAATGATCTAAAATTTGATAGTGGTGATGACTGCAGTCAATAAACATTGTGAATATTTTAATAACACTGGATTATATACTTTAAATGATTAAAATAGTAATTTTTACATTATCACATTAAATATATTTGGATCAAAGAAGATCTCTCTTTATTATAAGAAATGAGATGGAGTTTCTTTTGTAGCCATAAATTGACCTTGAAGATTATTGCAAAAGATAAAAATTTAAAAGATGTGGTATAATAGTAGCATGTCTGAAATCTACATGCAGTCTCATACAGTTACTTCAAAGGTTGTCATTCACTTAACTCCTTACATTTTGTGTGTGTGTTTAATTTATTTCTTTATACACACATTGTTTGAGTGTATAATTCCCTTAAAGAGGTCCAATGAAGGAATCCACTTAAATTTCAATTAAAATTTCTTAATCACTTAAAAATTTTTTTAAAGCAGACCAAGGAGGAAATGTACAATATTTTGGTGCTAGCTACAACTCTGATACTCTACTTTTGCAAATTTGGGGTCAAACTCAGTGCTAGTTGCCTGAAATGATCTCTGCACTGGTCTCAAACATCTTCGGTTCTCTAAAATAGATGGCATGTATGGTGTCTGGCACATAGTGGATGGCTCAAATGAATTAAAAATGAATTAATCTGTGGTAAGTGAAAAAACATGCTTTAACAACCTGGAGGAGCCCATATTGAGGATGTATGGAATTAATGCTTTCTGGAGAGAATTGTACTATTAATTCACATAATAAGATAAATTACTAAAATTTTAAAGAAGTAGTATTTTTTTTTAACTAACAGAATAAATGCTAAAAATAAGCAAAATTTGCCATAGCTTGTTTGGCTCAGTGACTAACGTGCACAAGGGTTCCCTTTTCCCCCACAACCTAGCCAACATTATTGCTTGTTGATTTATTGATTCTCAGATATGTTCAAGTTAAGAACTGGCCTATGTGATAACCAGGATGAAGGAAAGCAGGGGCTTGGACACTGTTGGGAACTCTCCTTCCAGAATGAACCAGTGCATGTTGCAGAGCAAAGTCCCAGAGGAAAAGTTAACAGAACTGGGGAACAGTCACAGGAACATACAATGGCCTGCAACTCCATCCTTCCCAATCTGCCCTGGCTCAGCTTCTGATTAGGAAGTTTGCAAAGACAAGTGATCATTATCTTAGCAGGAAAGTGCGAGTGGTATGAGTAGGCAGCATGTGAGAGGGGCTATCTTTTTTTTATTATTATTAAATTATTATCTGTGTACATATTTTAACATTGCGCCTCCCCCCCCCTCCCATACATACCCTCTTTGTTTGAGAATGAGTGCTCAACGTGTCATCAAAAGCATTCTTTCCACACTCACTTGGAACACCTGTTGAATGTGTGTTTGATGATGTCACTCTATGTATCAGAAGTTGTCATACAGGCTGTATTGTTCCTTATCCTTAAGAAATGAGGAAAAGGGAAGTAGAATAGACAGATGAAGGTTGTGACATATTTACTCAGTCTTTCTTGGAGCCTCAAAATCCACCCAGTAATTTCCTTTGTGTCTATGATCTCAGAGTTACTCACAAGTTATACAAACTGTCCTTTTCCAGATTATTGGAGTTTCTGTTAGTGTGCAAATGCAGGAGTCAGCTTAGATACTGGCCCTGATTTTAGTCATACCTGATATGCACCTGCATTCTTTTCATAACCATACTCAAAACTTACCTTGTTTTTCTCTTTCAGAATGGACTCAAAATAATTCAAAACATCCTCTAATAAGTAAGTATCAACCTAGTTAAATAAAATGAAGGGGACTAGACTGTTTGATGGCTGCAGAAATAATAAAATTGGATCTTCTTAATTGAATGGATTTGTTTGTATTAGGTTATCTGTTGTGAGAACCTTCGTTTCTATTCCTACTCACACCCTTCTCCCAGACAGCTGTGTCTGCAGCTGCAGCATGAACAATACAACATTTGTTACCACTCTGAATGTTCAAACCACTTTATACCCAGTTCAGTAGCTCCTATACCACCCACTCCCCAAACAAGCATAGGGGGAAGCTAAAATGTAACTATATTAATATACTTACGAATAAAGTTTTTCTGCATAAAAATGAACACAAGTACACAATTAAAGAAGTATGGTGTATTTTGATGTTTTTATTCTGTAATGTTTAATTTTAAAATTTATTTGTGATAAATTAAATTATTTCATGAGCCAAAAATAAGCTGCATGCCATTAAGGACAAATATGGACTTAATGCATGTCAACATTGATCAAAAGTATTGAGCACCATCTATTTGCCCACTAAACCATAATTGAAGATGTCAAAAATAATTGGAGATACCAAAAGTATTTGGTATTTGGAGATAATAAAGAGTTATGAAACAATGAAAAGGCATTGTGTTAAAGGAACCTGAATTAAGTATCAGAAAGATGTTGACTTGAGTCCCAAGTGTGCTCAGTATCTGTCTGACCTTGGGCAAGTCTTGGAATAATAATACTCTTCTCAATGCATGGGGCTAGATAAAAATAATGGCTTTATTACTTTTCTTACATTATAAATATGAGTTAAGACAATATAAAGGAAATGGCCTGGTTGAGTGTTTTCTGAGAGCTATATGGTTGTTGTTTCTCAGGGTATTAACCTGAGCAGAATGAAGAATAATTGTTACAAAAAATAAATTGTAACCCAGAACCACCAACATAGGTTCAGCAATAAAGCAAGAAGTGAGAGAGGACTAATGCTTGGAATTCTTGGGTTTGCTGGAAGGGAAATGCAGGCATCTTCTTTCTTCAAGTTCTAACGATGCAGAGGATGTTGCCGATCCTAATATATTTCAGATTTCTAACTGCCTTTAGCCTTGACTGACATTTCAGATACAACCAGTGCTGCAGGACCACCGTACAAGAATGAGATGGAGGGCAGACCGTGGATCCTTTATTGCTTGCTTCCTTTGGGAGGATTGCTTCTACTCATTACTTGTTTCTACCTATTCTGCTGCCTGAAAAGGCACCGAGGTGGGTTCCATCTTCCCTCTACTGCTCTGTGCCACACATTTCGGGTTCAGCTACTAGGACTGATACACTTGTAGTTGGTTTCTGTTGTTTTCTTTGCCAACGTTTTGCAATAAACCATGGGTAATGCTTTCCTGGGGGACAGCTCATCCTCCCACCAAAGCCTAATGGATTAATTTATGTTCACTCCAGCAATGGTGAGGCATGCTCAACACATTAATAGCACAGCCAAGCCTTGTGGTAAGGAGGGGAACTTTACTCATTCAACTTGAGTCAATCCTCGGTCTGTGTGGGAAGCTCTTAAATTTTCAGGGTGTTGAAAGGGAGACTGAGATAATCTCTCCACATGTCTGATTTGAATTAGTTTGTCTCAATCTCTTTTTCCCAGCCACACCACACCCTGCAAGTCACACATGCCCTTGTTTATATGAAGGCCCTCTGTCCTCAGAGAAAATTCATCTGCATGCACTTTCTGTTGCCATTACAAACACATGCTTGAACTGAGCCCTCCCTCAACAACAATAATAAAAATGTGTATTTTGCATGATGGGGGAAGTGTGATATATTTTGAACCATGCCTTTCTGCTTTTGTGAGAATTCCCTCAGTGTCATGAGGGAACACTTAACCACTTAAGAGACAAATGTATAGAGAATTCTGATCCAGCTCTGGTCTGAACCAACTCCGTTCCTGCTCTCTCCTTTGTTCCTCTCTGCCATCTGCTCCCATCCCTTTTCCCACAATAGCAGCCACAGAGTAGCTATAGAAACTAAGTCAGACAAAGAAACCCTTATTTCTGCCATAAGAGAAATCTTTGTCTGGGCAGAAGTGTTCCTGGTATTTTCCACTGAGGACTTCTGGAGCCCAGAACCTCCTCAGAATCCCGAGAGAGTCTCTGTAACCATAATTCCACACCCACAACTCCCAGGATCTTTCCACCGTCCCTTTCTGAGCTTCACCATGTTTTCTGAGACTATTGAGACCTCTCTCAGGGATAAATCCTTTGATTTCCCACATCCAACGTGAACTTGGCTATAGGAAATCCTGGCTATGCAGGTGACTGGACAACTGTGTGTCTGGCACTGAGTACAGATTGTCCTCAAACTAGGATTTCCAGCCTTTAAAAAGTGATGTCCTAGATGCTATCTCTGCCTCTGAATAAATATGTTGGAGGGCTCTCGGGAGTGAGAAGTGAAGAAAATGGAGCAGTATGAATTCACAAAATCAAGTCGTATGCGCCATGCTAGGCACAGCAAATCAAACAAGCCGAACTAACAATAATGCTCTCACTGGTATGCATGTGGGTGGGAATGGGTGGAAGGGCATTCCACCTCAGCTCCAAGGACTGAATTTCAAGTTAGCGGTCGGATTCCAGAACCCACATTCTTACCACAACTTCAATTTACAGGGATTTGGAGAAGAATTTTGTGTTGTCCTTTACTCCTTTTAGTTTCTTATTTTTCTTCTTGAATTCCAGGGAAACAAAAGGAGCCTTCTGATACAACAGGAAGGGGAATTAACCTGGTATGTTCACTCTATCTGTTAAAACAAATGCAATCTATGTTACTTTATGTTATTATTTATATATTTTTTTTATTTGAGTCTCTATAACACCATATGCAGACATGTCCTAAGGGCTATATACATATTGGTTTACTTAAAGCATTTGTTTATTTTAAATACACCTCTGTTTGCAGCAGAAATTCCTCAGGATTCACAAGCCTCAGGCTAAGTAATTATGTATTTATTTATTTATTTATTTATTCATTTTTGAACATCTTGGGTGGCAGTACAAGCTCAAAACAGAAAAGACAGACACTGAACCATAGATTGTGGCTCTTATCTTGGCCTGTTATGTGACTTCACGCTATTCATTCATTTTCACAAATATCTTAAAGTCTTTCTGGAAGAGAATTGAGAGTTAATGAAAGAACGAACCATAAATAACCTCATATAATAAATTTTAATTGCTTCATAAATCACACCAGCAGATAAAGAAGCATAAGAAGCATGGAGGAAGTTGGAGCTACTATGTAAAAGTCTCCGTGTGTGTGTGTGTGTGTGTGTGTGTGTGTGTGTGTGTGTGTGTGTGTGTTGGGGAGGATGGGCTCATCAAGGAGGAGACCTCCCAGACAAAGCAAAGGATGTTTTGCAGGCAATGCCAAGTTTTCCAACAAGTCCTTGGAATATAAACTTGGACTTTCCTTTTGGTTTTAATATTGTATAAATATTGGAACTAAAAAAAGAATATAAGATAAGGTGATATATTTCTGAAAAAATTTTTATGAAACTCTTTGTTAAAAAGAAATACTGCCCTGGCTGGGTGGTTGATTCAGTGGGTTCCAGCATTGTCCTGGATACCAAAAGGTTATAGGTTGGATTCCTAATTGGTTCACATACTAATAGATACTTTTCACATCAATCTCTCTCTCCCCTCACCTCCTATCACTCTAAAGTTAATAAACATATCCTTGTGTGACAATTTTTAAAAAGATAGTAAATATAAAAAATACTACAGTCATGAATGAGGTACTGCAAAGGAACTTGTGTGTGTGTGTGCGTTAGTAAAGTAAAGATAAAGATCTAGTAAGCTGGAAAGTCCCAGAAATGTGAGCAGCAGATATAGCCAATAATTCTACATATAATGGTGTTGTTGTTTTTTTGTTCAGGTGTTTTGTTTGTGTGTGTGTGTGTGTTTAATATATTTTATTGACTTTGTACAGAGAGGAAGGGAGAGAGATAGTTAGAAACATCTATGAGAGAGAATCATCAATCAGCTGCCTCTTGCACACCCTCTACTGGGGATATGCCCGCAACCAAGGTACATGCCCTTGACTGGAATAGAACCTGGGACCCTTCAGTCCCCAAGCCAATGCTCTATCCATTGAGTCAAACCGGTTTCGGCATTACATATAATATTAAAGGGCACTCAGCATTCACTACCAGTTGCCTAATTTTAAATCAGTCCAAATACATTCAACTTTAAAAACTTCTGTTAAGTTTTTAGTATCAGTAGACATCATTGTGATGGGTGCTAAGATTTTGTGTCCTTGAGTAAGAAACTTTTATTGAATATTATTTCCTTTCTTTATATAGTGAGCAACAACAAACTGCATTTTCTTACATTCAGGCCTGAGAAGTATGAAACCATTTAAAACAATAATCTAAATAATTTATCATACAAGTAAAGGCCAAGTTGGTCAAAATGTAGTTATATATATACTAGAGGCCCTAAGCTATTTATATACCCTCAGCCTAGCCTGCACCCTCTTGCAGTCCAAGACCCCTCGGGGGATTGGGCCTAAGCTGGCAGTCAGATATCCCTCTGACAGCCTGAGAGTCCTCAGGGGATGTTCACCTGCCAGTTTAGGGAGTGGCCTACGCTGCAGTCAGACATCCTTAGCACTGCCAAGGAGGCAGGAGAGGCTCCCTCCACCTCCGCCGTGCTCACAGCCCTCAGCCCGGCTTGTGGCTGAGCAGAGCTCTCCCTGTGGAAGGGCACTGACAATCAGGGGCAGCTCTATGTGGAGTGTCTGCCCCTTGGTGGTCAGTGTGCGACATAGTGATCAGTTGTTCCTGGTATTTCCACCATTAGGGACAATTTGCATATCACCCTTTTATTATATAGGATTTTTAATCCTCATGCAAAAGCATGCTTTTTCATTGACTTTTTTTTAAATAAATATTTTATTGATTTTTTACAGAGAGGAAGGGAGAGGGATAGAGAGCTAGAAACATTCGATGATGAGAGAAACATCGACCAGCTGCCTCCTGCACATGCCCTATTGGGGATGTGCAGGCAACCAATGTACATGCCCTTGACTGGAATCGAACCTGGAACCCTTCAGTCCGCAGGCCAATGCTCTATCCACTGACCCAAACCGGTTTTGGCTTCATTGACTTTTTAGAGGGAGAGAGAAACATCAGTATGAGAGTTATACCTTGATAAGTTGTCTCCCTAATGTGCTCCAACTAGGGATCGAACCCACAAATTGGAAATCAAATCTTCCCCCTTTTGGTATGTGGGACAATGCTCCAACCAAATGAGCCACACCAGCCAGGGCTAGCCATAGAGCTTCCTGTGTAAGTTGGACAAATTATTTATGATTTGAACTGGAATTCAAGAGGGGTTTTTCTGTTTGTGCAATTATTTATTTTGTTTTTTAAATTGAATTTATTGGGGTGACATTGCTTAATAAAATTATATAGGTTTCAGGGATGCATTTCTATAATACATCTGTATGTTGTATTGTCTACTCAGTACCCAAAGTCAAGATTACCTCCATGGAAATTTTGTTTTAAGGTGTTTATATCTTTCACCGACATTTTGTTTTGCCCGCTTTGATTAGTCAAACATTTTTTAAAAAAATAATAGAAAAGGTGCCATTTTATATCTCTGAGACTGACTACACATTTCTTAAAAAGGAACCTATATGGGAACCATGGAATAGAACCCAAAAGTAGAAAGAAACTGGTAAACACATGGCAGACACTTGTAAAAGCCAGTGTTCTCATCTTATTCCAGAATGGTCCTTTAAGGGTTTAAAAGTGCTGGTACACTAAAAACCACTAAATTGTACACTTAGAAAAGTCAATTTTAAGGTACAAGAATTATGTCTCAACACATTTTTAAAAGTATGTTGTAAACTGGACGGTGCCATACAGATACAGAGTAAGAGAGCTGCTTCATCGTTTGTTATCCACAGCAGGGCGCACCGCCTTGTGCACCCACCCTTCGATGAGGTGCCCACAGGATAAGTTCTGCCACAGAGCACCACGTTTCCTTTACCGCATTCATTCTAACAGTTTTCCATGGAAATGAGACATCTTTTGGGAAGGAGCCAGGTAACAGTTGAGAGACGCAGATTGAAAAATTCAACAGAGAACTTGATATATTGAATATTTATGTCTATTAGGTCACATGGAGTCTTTTTAAAAAAATATATTTTATTGATTTTTTTACAGAGAGGAAGAGAAAGGGATAGAGAGCTAGAAACATTGATGAGAGAGAAACATCAACCAGCTGCCTCCTGCACAACCCCTACCAGGGATGTGCCCGCAACCAATGTACATGCCCTTGACCAGAATTGAAACTCTGATCTTTCAGCCGAAACCGGTTTGGCTCAGCGGTAGAGCATCGGTCTGTGGACTGAAAGGTCCCGGGTTCGATTCTGGTCAGGGGCATGTACGTTGGTTGCGGGCACATCCCTGGTAGGAGGTGTGCAAGAGACAGCTAGTCGATGTTTCTCTCTCATTGACGTTTCTAGCTCTCTATCTCTCTCCCTTCCTCTCTGCGAAAAACATCGGGATCCACTTAATCTTTGTTTCCATAAATTCACCTATTTTCCAGAAGCTTTCTGAAAGATATCTGACTCTATTTTTGAAGTGTAAGAATTTTCTTGTGATATAAATAACAATTGAAATATTTTAAACTTTTTCTAAGCTTTTCTCCCCCCAAAATAAAACCTCGCAAGATTCCAATTCCAGGTGTTAAATCATAATACTGTATATTGACTAAATACTAGTATTTATTTTTTTGCACCTTAGAGGGTATCTGTTCTGCTTTATCTTTAATGATTTTATTCTAAACCATATAAATACTATCCATTATGTTATAGGTTGCCTGAAGTTCCTCATAAATATTTGGTGCTTTTTTCATAAATTTGGGCTCTGCTTTTCATTTTGAAGAGGGATTTAAAAGTGTTCTGTGGTCTCAAAAGTGACCAATAATATAGCACAAAGTAACTATTTGGGACGAACATAGTGGTCCTTAAGCTTTTATCCTTTTATAAGGGAGAATCTGTTAAAAAAATAAATGTAAACAGCATATGTGAGGAAAAGTCCACTATTTCTCCCCAGATATAAGGACTCAATTTAGCCTGCTTTTATAGTTTGCTAATAAATATGTACCATCACATCTTAAAATTATAATTAAAGCATTTTTTTCTCTTGTAGGTTGATGTTCCTCGGCCCTTTAGAAGTGAGCAAATTGAAGTGGGCACCAGACAACATCCCGAGACACTGCCATCAGAACCTGTTGTTTATGATAATGACCCCTGGGTCAGCGGCCAGGAAGAGTCTGGGGTTTATTCTAACCCAAGTCTGGAGGAAAACAAACAGGGCATTGTTTATGCTTCGCTTAACCACTCCATCATTGAAATGAACCCAAGGCAGGCAAGAAATGTGAAAGAAGCACCTACAGAATATGCAGCCATATGTGTGAGGAGATAATTCTCGTCCCACTCTCCCACCAGCCACCATGGATGATCAGTATGTCCATACCATTACCTGAGACCTACAGAATGTCAAGTAATATTCCTTGACCTGAGAAGATTCACTTTCAGGGGAGTCATGTTGGAGCTTGGATTTTAATGGTCAGTAGGACAAATGACTAATAGTTCTGCCAGAAAACTCTTTTGGAACATTTTATTTTATTGCCATGAACAACATCTCCTCTCCAAAATTGAGTGATATCATGAATAGCAGAGCAGGAGAGCATTTAAACTTAGCTACATTTTACCCAACATTTAAAGTCAATATTTTCTTTGGAGCTATCAGAAACACAGGTAGGGAAGAGAGATATGTGTTATCTGCATCGGTTCACTACACACTCTTGAGAGAAAGAATGTCCAATTTAACTAACCATAAATATGGAAGTGATAGTATGTTTATTTCCAGTCAATCTTTAATAATAAGAAATTTTCCTCTATCAAGCTAATGTTGAGGTTTCTTATATGTCAAGGAGAAATCATTTTAGGCTTGATGATATAATAAAATAATGGAAAGAATAAATCGTGCAATAAAGATGTGGAATATACCGACTAAGTGTGGGTCTATGTTCCCCGCACTGGAGAAACAAATGCTTCTCTCCACCCTGTCAGGTTGCAAAGCAAATGTCTGTGGTGATGGAGAATTTAATGTATGGTGCATTTATAAACCACGTGGTGACTCACTGAGTTACAAAGTCTAGAATATATGAATTGACATTATGCTGCTGCTGAATTAATGTACTTGTTGGGTGTCTGAATAAACATAAAAATCAGTGAGGATAGTTATCATCAGGCAGGTGAATATTGATGGCTTAAACTGCTTTATGGTTGACCTGATGTCAAACTTAAAACACAATTAATGGAATGGAGAAAAGTCCAGAATATTTAGTTGGCCAGTATGGGTTAAGACATTTTCAGTCACCACATCTGTATCTTGCTGTTCTTCTTAGTAAGGGATCAGGGCAGATCATACATAGTGAAGTAGTTCAGCTGGATAACCATTTGTTTTAAATATTGAGGTTGCAGCCACTTAAAAGTATAGCAAGTATATATGACTTCAGTTTTCTGAATTTCCAGAGTACTTGAGTCTAATTATTTCAAAAATATCCTGCAACTTCATTCAGCAGTTTCAGGCTATCAGAGCTCTTGGGTGCTGCTACTAAATAATGCAACAGATCTCATACAGCGTGGACAGCAGAGGTTAGAATCAATTTAAACAAATACATGAGCTGCTGCACAAATGAATGTGAAGGTGTGTGTGTGTGTGTGTGTGTGTGTGTGTGTGTGTGTTAGTGTCTAGAAAGAAAGATGGGTGACTTAGAAAAACAGTAAAAGAAAAGCTGACAAAAGTGACATACCATTTCAGTTTGCTAAAGAAACCCAGAAAATTGGAGCAAATGAGTCATTATAGAAAATGTATGAAAATAATATCTAAAATTGTGGGGATAGGCGTATGACATCCCATAAAAGTTTTTGTCCCAGAAAGACTAAACAGATTTTGTGGTGGAGCATTTCTTATGTAACTTGTGTTAAAATTTTAAACTTTAGATTGGGGTAGTGAGTATTGTTTTAGACTCATTGTTATCCATCCAGTATAATATTACTCCTAGAAATTCAAGCAACCAATTTTCTGTAGGGTTTTTTTCAGCCAAGCTGCATTTACAGGAAACTTATGTACAAAAGATAAATTAGAATAGCGTTCACGGTATTCTTAAAAATAGAAACAGGAAGAACAGGGAGGATACACTTAGATGTCCTTATCAGATAAACACACAAAGCTGAACAGTTTCTTCATAATGAGTTTAAATATATATACATATATAAATATATATATTTCTGAATATTGTTAAAATATTCTTAACATGTCTTATAGTAATGTTGATAATGATTTCACCTCTGTTAATGATTTATACTTATATTTGTATGATGCTGCCAAAATCACAAATCATTTATGTTTTTATTCCTTCTGAATAAAAGGTGTCAGAGTTATATATGTACTTTGTAAATAAATAAATTTATTTCAGTATTACTACATGGCTTGTTTCATTAATGAAATATGAGAAAAAGAATATATAGATAATTTAATGATTTTCCATTATTTTAAGATTGTTGACTATTCCCAATAAGAAGGTAAAGTTATTAAAACTTATTTGGAATAAATATAATGTTGATTTTTGTACCAAAAAGTGCATGGACATGAACTTTGAGTGATTCTCAAATCTTATGGCACATAAAAACAACTTGAAGAACTTGCTGAACTGCAGATAACCAACTCCTAGCACTAAGAAATTCTGCTTCAGAAGATTCAGCATATAGCTCTAGAATCATCACATTAAAAATCACCCCAGATAAAAATTTTTAATCCTCACCTTAGAATATATTTTTATTGACACCTATGGACTGAGGATATTTTTCTATTGATTTTTAGAAAGAGTGGAAGCCGGGGGGATGAAGAGGGGAGAAGGAGAAGAAAGAGAGAGAGAGGGAGAGAAAGAGAGAGAGAGAGAGAGAGAGAGAGAGAGAGAGAGAGAGAGAGAGAAATCTATCACTGCCCCCCAGAACTGGGGATCAAACCAGCAACCCAGGTATGTGCCCTGAATAAAGCCCATAATCCTTTGTTATATGAGGTGATGCTTCAATCAACTGAGCCACCTGCCTAGACACCCCACATAATTTTGATAGGGGTTTCTCAGTGCAGAAAAGCTAGTATGGCAGGAACATGGGACAAGGGCAAGGTGCTGGTGATGCAGACCTATCTAAAGGTCCCAATAAAAGACTTTGAAGGGAAGAGCAAGAAGAGCCTCAGAAAGGGACCCCTATTGTTCACTGTTGCTCATTGTCTCCCATTACCACTTAATTAATTAATTGCAGAGATGGTCATAATTGCCAGATGAGGGGAGTACTTGCTGGTGCATTTTCTCCAAGAGTTGGATGGGCTGTCCAGACAACTGCTTGTTCTTACACTCAAACACTGTTTTTTAAAAAAAACATATACTATATATTTGTCTTGTCCATTAATGAAGCCTTTCTAGGTCCCAGAATCGTTTCTCTAGCTTGATCATATCTGTCAACCTATAAAAGCACACACACACATCCTATCTAATAAAAGAGAAACATGAAAATTGACTGTACCTCTGCTACACCCACAAGCCACACCCACTAGCCAATCAGGGGAAAGTATGCAAATGAATCCAACTATTATAAGATGGCTGTGGCCTCTGCTCAAGGCTACCAAGTTTCAATTATAGAAGATGAATAAATCCCAGATACCTGCTTCCAGCTGGCCCTGGTCTCCACTCAAGTAAGCACTAGAAAAAAAAAAAAAAAAAAAAAAAAAAGCAAAAAAGGAGAGGCTGAGAGCCTGGATCACAGGGGTGTGGCCAGCCTGAGAATAGCCCTCAACCCCTCACCCAGACTAGCCAGGCACCCCAGTGGGGACTCCCACCCTGAAGGGGTGTGGCTAGCTTGAAAATAGACCTCAGCCCCTCACCCAGGCTGGCCACACCCCCATAGGGTGAGGGTCCCCACTGGGGGCTTTGACCAGCCTAAAAACGGCCCTCAGCCCCTCACCCAGGCTGCCCCATGCCCCCAGGAAAACATCCACACTAATCCGGGACACCCTTCAGGCCCCACTCATGCAACAGGCCTCTATCTATACTAATAAAAGGGTAATATGCAAATTAGACTGAAAGACCTTCCAGGAGACCTTCTGGACATTTTTCTGGACAAAGCCATGGTGGTGGGGCCAGAGGTAGAGGCAGTGAGAGGCTAAGAGGGGAGGGCAGTTGTGGGTGATCAGGCTGGTGGGGGGCAGGGCCATTGGAGGTAAGCAGACCAGCAGGGAGGTAAGCAGACCAGTTGGGGGTGAGCAGGCCAGGAAGGGATGGTAGATGTGAGTGATCAGGCTGGTGTGGGGGCGGGGTTGGTGGGGGCAAGCATATCAGCAGGGGGGCTAGTTGGGGGTGAGCAGAATGTCAGTGGGGGTCAGTTGGAGATGATCAGGACAGCAGGGGGCAGTTTGGAATGAGCAGGCCAGCAAGGGTACAGTTAGGAGCAAGCAGGCCAGCAGAGGGGGCATTGGGGGTGAGTAGGCCAGTAGGGGAGGCAGTTGGGGGTGAGCACACTGGCATGGGGGCAGTTGGGGGTGACCATGACAGAAGGGGGGAGCAGTAAGAGTTGACCAGGCAGGCAGGCAGGCAGATGAGTGCTTAGGAGCCAGTGGTCTAGGATTGTGAGAGTATGCAGGCTGGGCTAAGGGGAACTCCCCCATGCACCATATTTCAGGCACCAAGCCTCTAGTTTTTTAAAAGAGCCATTTTAGGTTCAGCAAAACTGAACCTAAAGAGAAAGAGAAATTACATAGAATTTCCATATCCTTCCTGCCCCCACACATGCATAGCTTCCCCTGTCAACATCCTGTGCCAGCCAGAGTGGTACATTTGTTACAATCAGTCAGTCCATAGTTTACATTAAGATGTACTCTTACTATATTCTTTTATTTTTTTTTCTTTATTGTTGAAAGTACTACATAGGTGCTTCTTTTCCCCTCATTAATCTCTTCCAGCCTGCTAGGTTTTGACAAATGTATAGTGACATGTATCCTTTATTATAATAATGTACAGAAACCTTCACTCCCCTAAAAATCTTCTATGTTTCACCTATTATTCATCCTTCCCTCACCTTAAACAACTGGCTAATACTGATCCTTTTCCTGTCTCCACAGTTTTGCCTTTTCCAGAATGTCACGTAGTTGGAAAATCATATTGTATGTAGCCTTTTAAAATTCTTTTTGGCACTGAATAGTATTCCATCGTCTGGATGTGCGACCGTTTTCATATGGTCGGTTGTTTCCTAATGTTGACAATTAAGAATAAATAATCATCTGTGTGCAGTTTTGTTTTTTTTTGTACAGATATCAGTGTCAACTCAAGCAAGTACCAAGGAAGATGATTGTTGGATCAT